ATGATGATGATAAATTGTTACATTCATTAACTTAACAAATCCTTATTATCGACCATAATCAACTCAGTGTTGTATATCTGTGGTGTGCACAATTGAAAAGGAGTCTTTGTAAAACATAAAAATCAATGAGATTGTGGAGCTGACATTAGGGTGCACGCCCCCATTCTCTACCTCTTCATTGGCCTAGAAGTCTATAGAGAATCGTAGTTTGTGAGTAATTGGAATGAAGTCCAATTGTAATTTTAAAATTAATAGGCTAATATACTGGTGGCGGGGAGCACAATTAAACGAAAGACAACGGCAAGCTTTGTATTTTGAATGTTTGTGAAGTTGTCTCTCCCTACGGAGTAGTAAGCGCTCCGGTTTAGGATTACACTCACTGTATTTCCCAATTTAACAACCGAGCCACATGTCTGACAAGGAGAGTGTGCTTAGGAAAACACAGCATCTGAATTGGGGATTGTCTCAGAAAGTCCAACACATATGGTGCCCATATCTATGAAATCGCCCTGGGGAGATTATAGAGAAACACATCCTGTGTGTCAGTCTCCGAGATCAATGTATTATTCTCTGCACAGAGCTGGCTCTAAAACGTGACTTTTGCCCCCTGACCTGTGCTGAGAGGCTGCATGCGTGGCGGGCGGCAACTGGGAGATGCCTTGCAGAAACGGAGAGGCTCAGTTCTCGCCAGGCTGCTGCAGTTTACTAAGGACTTTTTCCCAGGCTTCAAAAGGACGTTCTGGAGATGCCTATGACCTAAGAGGGTGTTTCCCCTCCAGCTGTGGCCAGCAGATGCGATGTGAGCACTGGCTGCGTCCATGTGTGCTGATAAAAGCAAGGAAAATGTGAATAATGGAAAAGAAAGGCAGGCCGGTGTTGTGCTGGCTGCGGTGATTTTAAAGACAGCTATGCACGCCCTTAAGCTTCTCCATGGCAAAGTGTTTAGGACCCCTTGAAATGTTTCACTCTTGTGAGAATGACTCACATCTTGGAAAGGGACAGCTCCTCGGGCTGGTGCTCCCAGCACCTTTGGGCCTTCCTTAATGGACCCGTGGGGGAGTGCCAGACAACCCCTCCACTGTGTTAATTAAGGAGCAATGATGTTGGCTTCTCTCGCCTCTAGCTGTAAAGTCAGCATTTCGGCATTCTCCAGCAGCCTGAAGGTTCCATGTGTGGAACATCAGGCTCACATATGACACAGTGTGACGCCCTACATAGTGGCTGAACATGGGGATCACCCACTTTTGTTTTGATGTTTTTGTTTCCTAGGAATCCTGGTGGTGGTGGTGTGGGCTCTGAAGTTGCCTGCTAATCACAAGGTCAGCAGTTCAAAGCCACCAGCTGTTCTGTGGGGAGAAAAATGAGGCTTGCTACTCCCGAAAGATTTGCAGATTCTACCCTTTTGGATAATGGAGGCTATGAGTCAGAATAGACTCATTGGCAGTGAGCCTATTCCTTGTTTGAGGTAGCAGAGAGGACCTTAGGTGGTACAGCATCCTCAACTGCTGGTCAAACCAACTCATTCACACCCCGGAAAAAAGGCCTGGTGATTTGCTTCTTTAGAAATTTCAGCCAAGAAATGCCCAGTTCTCCTCTGCAACACAGTGGGCTGCCAAGAATTGAACTGCCTCAATATTATCAGGTTGGGTTCTTGCTTGCTTGCTTTCTTACTGAGCAGATGCTTTAAATTACAGTGTCTCTGGCTTTTTTCAAGCACTTGCACACACACTAGTGCGCCTCTCGGCTCTAACACACAAGATCCTCTCCAGTTAACAAAGGAAAGGGATGATGGCAAGAGAGCCTGGGCCCCCAGGCGGCTTCATCTGACCTAAGCGGTTTTCATTCAGGTGAACCGAACCTTCAAGTGTATGGTGGGTAAACAAACACACAAGCAAGCAAATCGTACAAGCAAATGAAACTCAAGAAAAGTATTTCAGGAGGCTGTGCAGGTGGCCTTCAGTGGTGGATGGCGCTCCTCCTTGTGCCAATTCAGGGACAAACCTAGATGGGACTGGGTAGGGGCTGGGGGAGTCGTGGCACTCTGCAGTCACCTAGGATCTTGGGTGGCGTGGCAAGCTTGTGGGAGGGAAAAGGATGGGAAGAGACCTGCCCTCGCTTTTAAAATCCCTACTGGATGTTGTGTCTCTCAAGTTGCCAAAGGCTGGAACCATAGCCACCCCGGCTGCTCTTAGTTCAGGAGGGCAAAGTGTGCAATTCCAAGAATGCTTCCACAGAGTCTCCTGCATGCCCACTCAGGACCCCTTCCATCCCTGGTACAACTGCAGGGAGCAGAGCGCGAAAGCGTGCAGCAGGGTGATCCTGCGACAGGTAGTCCCACTGGTCATTCTAGGTGGACATTTCATCTTTAAGTTTTAGAATGGATTCGGAAAATACAAAGAGCATGAATAACCCTCCAAAGGAACAAACATTATATGGAGATTTTTTTTTTCCCCACGGCCTCAGCTTAGTATACATTTCCTTTGAAGACAATTTGGTGTTCACAGTTATTTAAATGAAATTGTAATGAAGTGCTAATGATGCATGACTACATGTGAACTGGATGTGAATGACTGAAGTGGGGGACCCAGCATTACACCATTTGTGTCTCTGATGATAGTCCGTCCATGGCAGAGGAAAGCAACCAGTGTAAAGAAAAAATAAATAATACACAAGAGGTTTACAAAGTCTCTCTTAGGTCCAGCATTAAAGTTGCTTTAGGGAAAAAGTGTCCTACCCTCAAGTGATCCCTACTCAGGAGACAGACAATGCTCTCCAGGGAGGAGTACAGAACTGATTACTCGCAACATCTAGAATTTGTTTCAGATTTAATCTGCTACGGCTTTCGAGAAGATGGGCAACTCTACTGCTGAGATCAAACATGACGTTATTTCCTTTATTATTTTAGGCTTTATTTATTTATTTGTGTTTTGCCTGAATGTATGAATCATGTCTACAAATACTTATGCACTTAGGATGCTTCAGGAAGCACACTAAACCAGAGGGGCGGAGAGTTGAATTCAGCAGGTCCCCAATGCTCAGGTTCTTACTATCTGATGGGTTGTGCTGGTTGTGAATTGGACATCTAGAGAGGAGGGTAATTTACAGGGGATTCAATAGATATCGGTGCAGGCTTACTAGAGATAGGGTATTTTTAGTACCAATAGCACTTTAGAAACACTTGAGTCTAATCTAAGGTGACCAGATTTAAAGCAGGACACCATTGACCGGAGGGGGGTGGGGGATTCTTGATTAAAAATTTGGTCTACATGGACCAAATAGACCGTTCCCTAGCTTGTCGTGCCTTCTTTCCAAAAATCAGGACTTTCTTAAAACGCCAAAAATTGGGACTGTCCCGCCAAAAGTGGGACGTCTGTTCACCTTAATGTAATCACTCCTACTTACCAGATTAAAAACTGAGTTTCCCAACCTCCACCAGAGGGTTAAGTGACTCACTCATGGTCACAGAGCTATATTATAGAAGAACTAGAGTAGAACCCAGGTATCACAATGTCCAGCCACCAAAGGCTACATGGAAAGGGTGGCATTCAAAAGAGGCACATGGCGTGGAGATAAAATTATAAATGAGAAACAGAGCAAAGCCCTGAATGGTCGGTGTTGAGAGTAAAGAGTGTAGTGGTGCAGGAAGAGACATCGTCCTGGGAGTTAGGAAATTTAGGCTCTAGGCCTAAGGACGGCCACATCTGCAAAGTACAGGCTTAGACAAGTGATTGACAATAACGTAGCCATGCATTTATTCTTTAACATCCAATTTCCAAGAATACATTGCACTATCATGTCCCTATGGGCATAGTCCTCTGTGATGTGCTGGAAGGATGGACATCTTTATTCCCATGATGCCGATGAGCAGACTGAAATCCAAAAAAACACTCAAAAATTACTGATTCAGCGTTGATTCTGACTCATTTAGCTGAGAGTAGAACTGCCCTTGTGAGTTTCCAATGCCTTATTTTTCTTCTGCAGAGTGGCTGATGGCTTTGAATTTGTGGTTAGCAGCCCAACACGTAACCCACTAGGCCACCAGAGCTCCTGTGTTAGTCTGGGTAAACTAAGGAAACAAATCGACAGAAATGCATATGTATAAGAGAGAGTTTTATATAAAGGGTAAGTGTACATTCAGAAAGCATCCTAACCCAGTGCTGTCCAAGCCCTAAGTCCAACATTAGCCCATATGTCTGACACCGATATACAAAGTCCTCCTCAATCTCACGAAACACACCCAGTAACACCGACTGCTGGAGGAAAGCTGAATCAGTGAGTGTGTAAGCATCTCAGCGCTGGCAGGGGTCTCCAGGTGGCTGCTGCTCCAGCACTCAGGGCTGCATCAGGGTAGGCCCATGTGTCTTCTGCTCAGGGATGTCTAGCGCTGGGGTCTCCAGGTGGCTGCTGCTCCAGCACTCAGGGCTGCATCAGGGTAGGCCCATGTGTCTTCTGCTCAGGGATGTCTTGCAGGAAGTGAGCCTTGCCAGCAGAAGCAGGGAACTGGTTAAGGCAGCTGCATCCTGTTGCGACCATCAGAAAGCAAGAGACCCGAGAACTCGAAAGGGGAGGCTCACTGTGCCATTTCTCTCTCTGCCCTTCAATTAGTCCCACATGTGGTTTATCGACCAGGTTGGCACAATAAACCTTAACTATCTCAGCTCCCTACAACTCAATTCCTTCTGCCATCTCATGGGTGCCGACTCTCAGCGACCCTATTGGACAGGGTAGAACTGTCCCTGTGAGTTTCCGAGACTGTAACTCTTTATGGGAGTAGAAAGCCCTGTCTTCCATGGAGCTATTGGTGGTTTTGAACTTCATAACCACTATGCCATCAGAGCTCCCTACAGGAGGCTCTCTTTTAGCTAACTAAGAAATGCAGACTTAGATCTCCTGGGTGCTTCTGGTCCAATCTGCTCTATAATACTGTGTACGTCACAAGTGTATGTCACATGTGGGGATCAAGACTGGTTAACCAAGCCTATCACTTTATTCTATTACAGATGCATTGTGAGAGGTTTCTATGCATCCTGAGAATAATTGGGACCACACTGTTCGGAGTCTCTCTCCTCCTCGGACTCACAGCTGCTTATGTTGTTGGCTACCAATTTATCCATACGGATAATTACTATTTCTCTTTTGGGCTGTATGGTGCCTTTTTAGCATCACACCTCATTATCCAAAGCCTGTTTGCCTTTTTGGAGCACCGGAAAATGAAAAAATCCCTAGAAACCCCAATTAAGTTGAACAAGACAGTCGCTCTCTGCATTGCTGCCTACCAAGAAGACCCTACCTACCTACGGAAATGCTTGCAGTCTGTGAAGAGGATCACCTACCCTGGCGTGAAAGTCATCATGGTCATCGATGGGAACTCGGAGGATGACCTTTACATGATGGACATCTTCAGTGAAGTCATGGGCAGGGACAAATCCGCCACTTACATCTGGAAGAACAACTTCCACGAAAAGGGGCCGGGCGAGACGGAGGAGTCCCATAAAGAAAGCGCCCTCTACGTAACCCAATTGGTTCTGTCCAACAAAAGTATTTGCATCATGCAAAAATGGGGTGGGAAAAGAGAAGTCATGTACACGGCCTTCAGAGCCCTGGGACGGAGCGTGGATTATGTGCAGGTAGGTCTCCACCTCCCCGCCAGTGCAAACATACATTTCAATAAAGCCGCTTTTGTATCTCTCCCAGTCATATGCTATAGCCCATCCTGGTCCCTTCTGAACACAGTACTTCTTTCAGTCCATTTGAAAACAGCAGGGCCGTTGAAAGCACACTTTGAAAGCAAGCGAGCGAGCGAGAAAATCTTGTGAAACCCCTAAGACTGTCTATGAAAATGCTTAACTGACTCAGTATGATTGGTTGGGAATCGAGATTATTCTGAACATGGGACCCTCCCTTCCCTGCCTCCCCCTTTACCTTTTCTGCCTCACACCCTGTGCCAAGACAAATCCTGCATCATTTTCCACACTCTAAAACCTCTGGTCTGGTAAGAAAACAGTGTCTGCCCACGAGAAACAGTCTTGAGGAAGTCTGCCGACAGAAGGGGAGGTTTACAAAATGGTTTGCTTTAGTTTTGTATTTTAAGGAGACGTGCACCCGTAAGGGAGGAGAGAGCAATTCTTATTTTAAAAAAGGAAAACAATTCAAAATCGAGAGTGTGAAGCAAAAAAAAAAAAGAGAGAATAAATCCTCAGAGCAAAGTTAGTAATGTTTACTTCACTCCCCAAACAGCTATTACCTCACTCCGTGCAATTTGACCTTTGGAAGTTTGGGGGGATGGTGTTTGCTTGCAGAAAATTGAGACAGGTTGTGTTTCTCATCAGTTCCCTGACTTCACATCCAGGTCTCTGCTTGCTGCTTCCTCATGGACGTTTTCTTCTTCAGGTTGTCACTCGTGCCCCTGTGAGCGTTCTTAGTTATACGTATGTGTCTGCAGAGCCTTTCCTTAGATTTTCGTCATGGTGATGTCAAGAAGAGAGCTGTCCTAGTTTGAGAAAATCCACAAGGATGCTCTTCCTCTCCCCTTGAAAGTAAAATCCTAGTTTCTGGCAGCCTTACCCCTCAAAGTCCCTGGGTGGTGCCAAACATTAAGTGCTCAACTACTAGATCGGCTTCTGAAAAGTCCCAGCTTTGACGGCCCTAGGCAGCAGCTCTTCACTGTATATGAAGGTTGGCCATCACTTGGAATTGATTCAAAGGCAACAAACATCATTAACAACAAACTGCCCCCCAAATTACACCGCGTGGGTCCTCTGTTGTAATAAGGTAGAATGGACCTTGGTTTTTGTGGTCAATGGATTCAAATCTAAGGATAGGCATCGTGAGGTGTTCGACCTTGATCCAAGACCACCTCCCGGAGCCTGTTTTCTGGATAGAGTAAGCTAATTTCACAGGAATTTTGGGGTGGCCACATCAAGTAATATATTTAAAGTGCTTAACAAAAGATATTAATGGCATTGCGGACGTGATTGTGGATTTTCCTCTTAATATTATCGCTTTTTATTGTCTTATGAATCTAATGGAACTATTGGAGGTTCAAATCTTCCCAGACCTGCGTCAGAAGAAAGACCCAGTCTACTTGTGAAAAATCAGCCATGCGCAACACTGCGGAGCACCATCCGACTTACAAATACGGGGCTCCAGGCATGGGAATCAATTTGACAATAACTAGTTGCTGATTTGATTTTTTTCTTTTAATCCCAACCCACTGCCATCAAGTCGATTCCAACTCATGGCAGCCTTATACAAGGTTTCCTATACTAAATGTTTATGTGTATGCAGCTTTCTCTTTAGCCCATGGAGTGGTCACTGGGTTTGAACCACCAGCCTTGTTGTACTAGTCAAATGCGTAGCCTATAGCATCAAAGTTTTCATTGGGAAATTAGAATACTTGTTGATTGCCACTGTAGGATTAATTGTAGCAGATAATGAAGAATTTTGAGTTTCCTTCAGTTGATACAAAACGGGATAATAATGTCATTTCTTGGAAAAATGACTGAGTATCTCAAGTGTCTTCAATTTCTCAATTGGCAGTCTTTCACAATTAAGGTAGTTTTGGATATGACACGGCACTTGGTGTTTACACAGTGCGTCGTCAGGACCACATGAACAATGCCATCTTTTTGAAGGAAGGATGGTTAATGAACACATAGCAGGGCTGAAGAGTGAAGTGCTGGGCTAACAATGAGAAAACATCTGTTTTGATCGTTTGCTTTTAATTCTAGTTAAAACAACTGCTACATTTGTCATCTATCATCATACCCTCATTAGGTGTTTTTTCTTTTCACTTTGTTCTGTTTAAATTTTATTTTCAAACCTGCTTCTCCCAACCCCCCTTCTCTCATCAGTCTTGTTTTGAATGTTTGTTTGTATCCTTGGCAACTTTACACTGTGCCTGTCCTGGGGGGTGGGGGGCGTGGGAAATGAAATACCAGAGTAGACTTGTGGCAAGAGCTCGACGCTTCATTCACAGTATGGAGAACACGGAGTTTTGGGACTGCCTCTTTCTATAGAAGCTTCTGAGTAGACTGACCTGAGCAATGGCAGATGACAAAGTCTAGACATCTCTGGGATCCTCAGCTAGTTCCCAAAACTCAAACAAGTGTGCACACCTTTCGTCGTCATTTCTTAAGGTTTAACCTAATGCACTCTTCTCTTCTCTTCTGATAGACTGAGGCTTCCAAAGCTGCAGAGCAGGGGCTCACAGGAAGACAAAGAGGAGAGAAAGTGTAGGGGGTTCACTAGTAAGCATTTCCAGTGATCAGACTTGGAGTGCAGGTTGATCAGGAGAAGGAGGAGGAGGCAAAGTTCATGTGTAATACACTAGAGAGATGGGAGCTGGTGCAAGGCATCGGTCTATCTTCTCACACACTTGCAAACCTGGCAGGAGGAGGTTGCTCAACTGTGCAGAGAGATAGCCAAAAAGATTGATTTCAAGTTGCAGCTGGGTCCTTGGCACAGCTCATGGTTCTTCAGTTGACCTTGAAGAGATGACTTGCTTATTGCGTTCTTATTATATCATTCCTTCACCATTCTCCAAGGGCCCTACCCAACCCCTCCCTCCTTAACTATTAAGAGATGACCTTGCCTCCTCCTGCAGTAGGCTTCTACTTTCAGAACTCCTAGTTCTGAAGGCTATCAGCACCCTCTTTACTCACTCCTGCCTGCAGTTCCAAATTGACATCACTTCCTGTCTCCATGGTAACCTTTCTCCCTTCCCTCTTAGGCCCTCTGGGTCAACCTTTTATCACTTGATTACACCTCTCCCACCCCACCCAGTCTCAGCTTTAATTTCTTCACTATGGCTACCAATGTCAGCCTTTGTGGTATTCCAATAATTTAATACTGACATGGAACAATAAGGGATCTCTATTCCTCTCATAGAAGCCCAGTGTGACAGAAAATGTGTCCAATGATAAATTGGCCGATGTCAGCGTTACATTAGGAAGAAAGTAAAAGAAGAAACATAACCAAGTGAGTAAAGACCATGAAGTCAAGGAGAAAGGGGACAGATTCTGACCTTTCCCTATATGGTGGGGAAAAGTCTCCCTTATTTATTCAAAATAATATTTACAAGGGTGTTGTTCCACTTAGCAATAGCCTGTATAGGCCCTGACTGGTACAAAAAACTGGCATGTACAGCTGCTAGCTGACAGGTTAGAGGTTTGATTTTACCCAGAAGAACCTGGGAAGAAAGGCCTGCCACTCTCCTCCCACAGAATAGGCTGTTGAAAACCCTTGCCGCTCAGGTTTCCTTCCGACATACTCGTGGTTGCTTTGCATTAGAGCCAGTGACTGTGGGCTCATAATTCTTTCGAACGTGAAATCCAACCATTTGGAATGAGAGGCCTCCAAGGTGACACACATTTGGTCTCCCATTTTTCCAGCTGCACTGTCACCTTTGCTTGGCACCCTCTGTCACTTCCGCTCATGGCCCAGCCTGCCTAAAGATGGACAGAAGCATAATCAGATGACTCCTTTTTAAAATCTCAGTTCTTGGAAGAGACCCTAGGTTGACCGATGGCAGGAATTACCCTCTAAAAATTTAGATAATGTATTCTACCAAATAAAGCTTGTATCTTTCTGATTCATTCTTGGGGACTTCCAGTTGACTCCGTTTGAGCGTCTGGGTGCCATAAACCAAATGACAATAAGATGGATTGCTCTCTTGATCCATTACCCCACTTCCAAAAGGAAAGTACTGTATATACTTGAGTATAAGCTGACCCGAATATCAGCTGAGGCGCCTAATTTTACCACCAAAACTACATTTAAAAATGTGCTGAAAACCTCCGCTTATGCACGAGGAGATACGGTATAGCTTTCTTTTCTTTTGAGGGCATTTCTTTTCTCTCTTCCTCCGGGGGTGATCTTATTTATGAATTTCAGAGAATTTGAAGTTCTAAACTCCTAAGATGTTAGGATTTTATGTCCCTTCCATCACTCAAATATCCGGCTGAGTTAAACCTGGTAATCTTAGCTACTAGAATATGTGTAAACCCGTTTATTTAAAATAGGAATAAGTACGGTAAATCAAAGTTAGTTTATGACATGCATATCATGATAATATTGGTGAAGTCCTACAATTTATTGTGCTACTATTAAAAATCCTACATTATGGACTTTTGACTGGCTGTGAATTTTACACTGTGTACAGTCATCGACTGTGCAGGTTACTTTATATTCTGATTCATTGGTTTTTCCTGTCTGTTATACATACACAGTGCCACATGAATGATCAGGCCCATTTACTATTCTCCAGACCACACAGTTCTCAGGGTCCACTCATTACCATAAAGTCAAACTCCATTCATAAAAACCTTCGGGACATAGCAGAGCTGTCCCACAGGGTTTCCAAGGTTATAGATCTTACTGCCACATCATTCCCTTTAGGAGTGGCTGGTGCATTCACAGTGCTGGCTTTTTGGTCAGCAGCCAAGCATGGCCTCATGGTACCTCCAAGGCTCTCAATGGAGCACATTTAAAAACCAACACAGTCATCCATGCCCCTCCAGAACTAAAGATTGTATCTGTCTTAATCAGCATCACATTGAGCAGGTCCCATGCAGCACCGAGTCAAATTTGGGTGCTGCAAATTTGTACAAATGTCCATTGGCCCAGG